CACTATTTCTGTGAACACGGAATTACCAGAGTTGCTCTTGTAGTGTTAAGACTTAAGAGTCACTTGACTCATGACATTCTCCCTATACTCGTGGACTGTTGTAAAACGACTGCTCATCGAGTTTGTCTGTCACATGCACGCCAAAGGAATACCCGCCACCAAACAAATCTGCAAGACCAATTTGTTAGGGTACAATTGTCTGTTGGACATCCAAAGTGATGGTCCTTTGCTGATGGACACCTATTTTGGAGCATTTTGTCAGAAGATATTCTGGTTCAGTGAAATTAGGCCACAGGACACCGCGGACCGGTTGCAGCCGGTTGAGGAGAGAGAAAATTTTGTTTTGACATCCGGTGCCCCTGAGCCATAGTTGGGTCCACCCCTCTCCCTCTCACTGATGCACGGGCCCCACCTGCCATCTTCTTCTTTCTCCTTTTCTCCTCTTCTCTTCTTCCATTGCTAAGCAGCAGCCACCGCCGTCGACCAGCGAGAGGGCAAGGTGGTGGCGGGCACTTGCTACTGGCTTCTGCTTTCTTCCCTTTCGTGCGGTCAACAGAGAGAATAGAGGGAGAGCGACAGAGAGAAGGCAAGGCAAGGAGGGAGAGCGGAGGGGCAGGGCGCCGGTGGGAGCTAGGCTCCGGGCAGCAACACTTCTTGGTGGAGTCGCGGCGAGGTCGATGGTAGGAGGACGACCTCGGTCTCGTCCACGCACGGGCGCGAGAAGCAGAGCAGAGGAGGAAGAAGAGGGAAGTAGAGCACTGCGACGGTGCTCAGCTACGGCGAGGGCGGACTGCGAGCGTCGGGCGGCAGCAATTCCAGCCACGATGGTCACAGGCCGAGTCAGAACTCTGGCCCCCCGACGCTCGCCTACCGCTGCGGCTGCCGAGCACCCCCTCCATCTCTACCTCTCCCTCTCTGCTCCTTCTCCCTCTCTTCTCCTTCCCTGAACAGCACATGCCGCAAGCCACCTCGCCGGGGCCGAGGTCGCCGTTGCTCGGAGCCGCTCTGCCCTCTCCCTACTTCCACTATCCTTCTCTTTCCTCTCCGCCTTACCTTCCCTCTCCCTCTCTCGCTCAGTTGGAGACGGGCGTAGAGCGCCGCCGCCGGCACCTGTGCGGATGGCAACGGGTATATACCCGTCGGGTATCGCCGGAACGTTCTCTTCCCCGCTACGGAGAATTTATCCCGTCCCCATCCCCATTAACTGTCTCGGGTATAGATTCTTGCCCATCCCCGTACCCGTCGGGTATCGGTCGGGTAACAGATACCCGACGGGTACTGCATACCCGATAAACAAGGACACTTGGGGTCGCAGCTTTGCAATCGGAGACGTTTCTTCTTCACCCGGGTATAAGTGTCGGAGTCTCGGAGATGCCGAGGAGAAGGAGTGAGGTTGCGAGGAGGACGAGCAAAGGTGGCAGAGAGACCGAACTGAGGAAGCGAGGGGCACGAGCGCTCGTAAGACATGCGTGCTTGTGCTGCTGACGGAGATGGTGAGGAAAAATTGAACGAGGGTTCCTAGAACACACAAACTATATATATGACTGTTCAGATTTGGACCAAAATACCTATGTTGAGCTTCTTTGAGCCTAATACTCGCATGATAGCTCAAATAGTCGGGTTCCCCAACGGGTAACGGGGACGGGTAAACAGGGAACATTCCCGTACCCGCTATACCCGTCGGGTATGGATTCTTGCCCATCTAGATGCCCGCGGGTAAAGATATGATCCCATCCCCGTCCCCTAATGGATCAAATACCCGTCGGATATCAGGTATCGGGTCCCCGTTGCCATCTTTACCTGCCGCCAGCACCCTACTCCCCAACTCCTTTCCCCTCTCTCCCTCTCTCTCTCCCTCTCTCCCTTCTCTCTCTCCCTCTCGCTTCCCCTCTGTCTCGCTTCTCTCTGTGCCGCGGTGGCGAATGGTGGGGATGGGAAAGGCTGCGGCGCGTCGGTGAGTGCGCCGAAGAAGGGCGCGACGGAGAGGGGCTCGTGGCGGCACACGAGCGTGTTGGCCAAGTGGATGTCAGCGTCGCAGGTGGAGCAGAGCGTGGTGGCATCGGTGCGGTAGGTGACGGTGGCGGGGGCGCGGTAGCCGAGGCATAGGAACACGCTGTCCTCGCGGCAATGTAGCCGCGCCGGCTCCACGGCGCACATGTCGTAGGGGCGCACGCCCATCACGCTCCAGTACCCCACTTCCGGCTTCTGCTCCAGCTCCACCACGGTGTCCATGCCTCTGCTATCTGCTCCGAGTATCACGAGAGAGATGCTCCATGCCTCTGCTGTCTGCTCCACGCGAGTGCTCTCAGCAGGAAAGCAGCAACGGCGGTGGTGCGAGCAACCAAGCCAAGGCAGCAGCGGCGTGTGGTAGCGGGCTACAGTGGCGCACGCGTAGCAGCAGCAGCGTCGGCCGGAGAAAGGGAGAGAGGAAGAAGAAAGCTGTAGGGGCAAGAATGTTATTTCACCGTTGTTCTCTCTCCTCAACCGGCTGCAACCGGTCCGCGGTGTCCTGTGGCCTAATTTCACCGAACCAGAGTGTCTTCTGGCAAAATGCTCCAAAATGGGTGTCCGCCAGCAAAGGACCATCACTTTGGATATCCAACAGACAATTGTCTCATTTGTTAATAGGACGTCTAGCCCTCGGACTACCCGCACGTCCGGACACTCCGTGCTTGCTGCCCTCCTCATGTCCGGCTTTCCCGCATAACGCCCGCACATGCTCCTTCCCCTGTGCCTCTATTGCTGGATCCACTAGTACAGAAAACTTTACTGAGGCTGGCAAAAAGGATTTACCGAGGCGGGCATCGTAACCAAGCCCATCCACACGCCGCCGCAGCTGCTCGCCGGACTGCGCGCTGAACCGGGATTCGACCGCTCACCGCCAGATCCGCTGCATCCTCACCGGAGAAGCAGGTCGGAGACGCCGAATCCACTGCACCCACGCCAGATCCGTTACGTCCTCGCCGGATCCGCTGCGTCCTTGTCAGAGACGTAGGTCGGAGACGTCGGATCCACTGCACCCACACCAGATCCACGCGCAACCCATCCACGGTCGCCGAATTCGGGAGAGGAAGAGTAGAGGGTCGCCGGTGGGGGAGAGGGAGCCGGGCGTGAGATCCACGCCGCCGCCATCGGTAGCAAGATTCGAGCCACCCTGGCCACTGCCGAGCTGGATCCGCACGCGTCGCCTCCTCTCCTCGTCGGATCAGCACGCCCTGCCCCTGGATCCGTGTCCTCTTCTTGAGGAGAAGCGCTCCCCGGCCGCCGCTGGGAAGGACCCCGGGAGCGTGCCACCACCGTAGTTGAAGCTGTGTGCCTAGATTCGCCGGAGGCCCCGCGCTGCAGTTGGAGCACCGTGCCGCCGGTGGACCCGTTGGAGGAGGCCGCCGGGGAGGGGAGGAGCAGCAGCGCTGCTCCCGATTTGATTGTGCACGCTTGTGGGGGGAAATCATCGCGCCCGCTGCCATCAAAAGCAGCAGCGACGGGCCACGCCTGGCCACGCACTCCGGCTGCTCGCGTGCTACTGCTGGCACATGATGATGCTGCTGACCAGCCGCATCCAGCTGGAATAAGGAGAGAGAGAATGAGAGAGCAGTCGAGCATGGATGCAGCTTCGTGCTCCACGCCTGCTGCCACGCCCATAGATACAGCTTTGTGCTCCATGTCTGCTGTCGTGCCCTCTTGTCTTCCCGCGCATGTGGGGACCGTTGCGCCCGAGGGGACCACCTCTACCTGTGCCCCTAGCAGCGCCAGCTAATGAAGCACTTGCAACATAAAGCATTTACTGCAACATACGTCCGAAATAGATAAAACATTTACAACATACGTTGGCAACATAGGTGTATGGGCACCGCAACATATGCAACAATTAGATAAAAACACTTACAACATACGTTTGAAACAGGTGAAATATTTTGAAACATACACTTGCAACATAGGTGTATAGCCAGTGCAACATATGCAACATACAGATAAAACACTTGCAACATAAATTTAAAACAACTGAAACATTTAAAACATACACTTGCAACATACGTGTATAGTTATTGCAACATATGCAACACCAGATCAATCTACTTTTGTAATATCCAGATGAAACATATGCAACATACATCTGAAACACATGAAACATACGGATGCACACATGTGCTCATCTAATTGCTGCACCACAATGGAGGCTCATTCACGCGGAGGTCGACGTAGGCGTGGAGGTCGAGGTCGCCCACGGTCGATAAGCGGATGCATCGTGGCATGGTGGGAGGCACGAGGCGCGGTCGAGGGTGCACGACGTGAGACACGAGGCCAGGCGCGTCCGCCCTGTCCTTTGGCGCGAGGCACGACGCGTGGGGGCATGCAACGCGAGGCGCGGGGCAGGCCCGTTTCTGGACGGACGTCCTCGGGATATCATTATCGATTTGTTAAACTATAATATAAAGTACATAATTGGAAGCCCAGCTGGTGCAAGAATATTCTCTGTAATTTTAGCTAGGAATTCAGTTCTGTAACTTAATCGACTAAGTGAACGGTAAACAACTTATTTAGTAGAGTCAAATACATCCTACGTGATGCCTCCAACGAAGACACCGCGCGCGTAACGATGCGCGCTCCCGCAGCAGAAATGCTGGCCCACGTACGACACTGATGATTTGTGACGAATCATAATTCTTAAACAAAATGCAGCATTGCATTTAAACAAACAAGGTCAGCGAGGGCGTTATATACTTGTACTTTCCATTGCTTCTGCTAGCTTGCTACTCGTAATTTCCAACGCATTTACACATCATCCTCTATCTTGTTCTTCTCCAAATACAATTGACCACATAATTTTAAGCATTTTCTACCCAACAATCATTGCTGAATATACCATAGATTATGAGCTTGTTGCAGTCTTGTCAAACATACTATATATACGCACGTACAGACATTCTGAAACAACTGCCCAACCACCATTAGCCACCTGTAACGCAGATAAGCTAGCTAGCGGCTGCACGGCGGCATCCATGGACGGCGAAGCAGCTCGCCGCGGGAACGGCGCGTGGGAGATCGTCCTGGTCCCGCCAGACCCGACCACGGCGTGGTCCGAACGCTACGTGAAGCTTTTCCTGCTGTGGTCGGCGGCCATCGCGGTGTCTGTGGCGCTCTACGTCTTCGCCGGCTACGTCTGGGGCTCCGTCGCCATGGCCGCGTTCCTGGTGGCCGGGTGTTGGCTCACGTGCTGCTACCTCAAGGCTGCGCCGGAGCCGCCGCTGCTCTCGGTGGATGCCGCCGTGCAAGCGGTGGGGCAGGTCAACGGCGGCGGCGGCGGCCTCAGCCAGGCGGAGATAGAGGGCATCCCGGTGTTCGAGTACCGCCGGAAGGAGGCTGCGGCGCCGGCGCCAGCGGAGCAGTGCGCGGTGTGCATCAACGTCGTGCGAGACGGGGAGGAGGTGAGGCGGCTGCCGGCGTGCGCGCACACGTTCCATGCGCCGTGCATCGACGGGTGGCTGCGCGCGCACGCCACCTGCCCGATGTGCCGTGCCGACGTCAAGGTTGCTGCTGTGGGGCTGCCGGCAGAGTCGTGGGCAGCGTAGTAGTACAGTACTTGGATTACTCGGCTTGTGCGTCACGTAGTACATTGAAACCGTACGTACGTGCTCAGCATGGTCTTCACCATTTCTCCTTAATTTGGAGTTACTAGTTGGGAATCGAAATTTTGACATCGAACTTACCTGGCATTGGCAATTGTAAAACGGAAATGCTACGGTGACGACCTCCAATTCTCCGGACTCTCCCGTTCGAGGGCTAAAACACCAGCGCAATGGCCCAATAGTCGTAGCCTCTCGTCCACAAGTACCTAACCGTAGTCTAGTGTCTTTATTCTCCAGAAAAAATCACTGCAGCTCGAGCGGATGCGCACCTCTACGATCGCGCTCCGACACGCCGCCTGGCGTTCTCCATGGCGGCCGAGGCCCCGACGGCCAGTATCTCCACCGTGCCCGAGCGCGGCCGCCCGCCTTGATCCCTCTCCATCGTGCCTCATGACTGCCAGTCTTCCACCCTCTCCACTGCGCCTCTGGCCCGCCACGGCCTTCTCCAATTCACTAGCCGCCTTCTCCACCGGAGTAGCGACAGCTCGTGCCGAACCCGCCACGGACTTCTTCATCGGAGCGGCGACAGCTTGCACTAGCATGAGATCGGGAGCGCCACCATCCAGCATCGTGCTGATCCACCTCGCCCGTCGTGGAAGGGGAAGTAGGGGAGGCCTGCGCCTGCACCCCCATCCACCTCGTGTCGTCGGCAGGAAGGGGAGGCCTGCGCCACCATAGTTCCCCACCAGTTTGGTCATGGCCGTGCAGCGATGCTGCGTCAAGTGTTTCTGGACGTTTTTCAGACATGTTGCAAGCTTATGTTTCAAGTGTTTCAGATGTATGTTTTAATGGTTTCATGCGGATGTTGTAAACGTAGATCAGAATGTTACATATGTTGCAATAATGGTTGTACACGTATGTTGCAAGCGTCTATCATCAATGTTTCATCTGTTTTTTATACGCGTATATTGCAAGTGTTTCAGACGCATGTCTCAAGTGTTTCATCTATCTTCTTTTGTATGTTGCAAGTGTTGCATGTGGATATTCTAAAAGTAGATCGGGATGTTACACATGTTGCAATGACGTTTCAACTGTATGTCCAAAGTGTTTCATCTATTTTAGATGTATGCTACAAATGTTTAGTTCATCTCGATGTTGTAAAAGTAGATCTGGTGTCTGAATGTTGTAGTGGAACCCACTTGCCACAACCACCTGCTTGCAGCTACTGGGCCCGTGTGCATGCATATGTTGCAATAATGGTTGTACACGTATGTTGCAAGCGTCTATCATCAATGTTTCATCTGTTTTTTATACGCGTATATTGCAAGTGTTTCAGACGCATGTCTCAAGTGTTTCATCTATCTTCTTTTGTATGTTGCAAGTGTTGCATGTGGATATTCTAAAAGTAGATCGGGATGTTACACATGTTGCAATGACGTTTCAACTGTATGTCCAAAGTGTTTCATCTATTTTAGACGTATGCTACAAATGTTTAGTTCATCTCGATGTTGTAAAAGTAAATCTGGTGTCTGAATGTTGTAGTGGAACCCACTGCGCGAGCGGCAGGCATGGGAAACAAGAGCAGACGTAGATTGAGACGTGGCCCCACGTGGGCGTGCATGCACAGAAACGAAGCGGCATAGGCCCCTACGTGAAGCAAGCGCACGCGTGTAGACGGGCACGCGGGCAGGCGCGGCTGGTGTGAGCGTCCGGACGCTAGTACCCCAATATAAGTACTGGCGCTAGCAGTTCCAATTGTAAAATCATGAACATTTGCCGTAAACAGCACCGCAACCAATTTATAGGTATATTAATTTATGTGGATGTGGACTTGTGAGACGCACGGTACGAAAGTCCTTTTATGCCATTGTCCGCGTCCTCTCTGATCTCTCAGTCTTCTAAGGGCGTCCGCAACAGCCTGCGCAAATCGCTAGCTGACATGGCACGATGGGAAAAGAAACAAAGAAGAAAAATTCAGAACTGTGAAGGTGGGTCAGGAAGCCAGAGAGGTGCAGTTCACTGGGAACCATGCGAGCATAGCGACGAAGTACTAGCTAGCGACGAGTTTTTTTTCTGCTCTCTCTCCTCCACGTAGACTTCCTAGCTAGCTCCTAGTCCCTGGTTGGGGACGTCCTAAGAGCATGGTTAATAAGCCAGCCAGCAGCCGGCGGTACGCTGGGCCATGTCATGTCAAGGTAGCGTATGCAAATATGTGAATAATAAGCTGGCGTTTAGGTTGGCTGTTAGTTTTTCTTTATTGAATACTTTATTTGCATGTGCATCTCATCTCTTGTGGCTACATCTTTGTTGCCCCTTGCAATGCCAGGCAAGAAAACAGACCTGGTGGGAGCATAGGATCCAGAGGAGGGGACGGGGGGCCACCAAAACAGCAGCTCTGTCGCTCGTACAGGATGGGAGCAGGCGATTGTGTCTTGGGAAGTGCCCTTCAGCCGGGCGGCAAGGCTACCGTCCGCTTCCTTCTCTCTCATCTGTTCTCCCTCCTCCAGCTCAGATTCTGTTGACATGGACTCCCTCGCCGCCGGCTTCCAGTCGATTAGTATACTTGCTCTAAGAATGCATATAGGCTCCGGAGTTATTCACATTGAATTAGTAGCTTGCCGGGCTCATGGGATATATATTCTTGGCCTCGGAGTTTCAACTTAATTAAGTACGTAGGCAAGGATATTCTTGAGACTGAGGGCGTGTTTGGATCATAGCTCGATTATTGTAATCTGGATATATTATGCATTGGATTATTATAAATAGGATTATGGACTATAACCAGAGTGTTTGGGTCTTGTGGATTATATATAATGATTGATTATGATTGGTTAAAGTGAGAAATTCCTATTTCATCCTAATTTATTATTTGGAAACAAGTTAGATAATCAATGGGGGCAAGATGGACTTTCAACACCAGTAATCCCCTTCATATATCCTGGTCTCACATGGATTATGAGATTATGGTAATTAATCAAGAGTTTTGATTATAATAATAATCCATCATTTAATCAATCATGTTTGGATCAAAATTTGATTATATAATCTAATTATCATAACCAGAGGGGTATCCAACCAAGGACTAAGAACATTTGTAGGATCAAGATCAGTAAACAGGGGACTCCGAGGCACTTGTTGTAGTGTGTATTAGATCTTTGTTTTATCTTTGGTTCTACAATTAATGGGTTCAAGACATGGATTGTTGGGAGCTAAGGTTGAGAGCGCTTATAAGGTACATATATGTGATATACTCTCACCAAGTAAGTGCAAGCGGCCCTAGTGGATAGGTTAAATCATAGATCTCAAATATATTTAATTAAACAAGTTTAGACTTAAAACAGGTTGTGTATATGCACCGGATGATTGAGACCTACTCGGTCGATCATCTAGTGTTCGCTATGCTCTAACTCAGTTTAATTTGACCGTAGTACTGAGCGGGCACCGTATGACCCGGTGCGACTGTGTAACCCACGACGTATCATCCACTGAAGCCCTGACTCTGTGTGTCAACTAGCCAAGGTCTGTATAATCCGTGGTGGTGATCCTGTGATGCCTGACTGAAAGGACCAATTTGCCCCAAGAGGGGGTGAATTGGGCTCTCAAGAAATTAAAGAAACAAACCTTGCCCTACTTCACGCAACTAAGTTCTAAGACCAAAAAAACACACACTAAATTCAATTCCTTGGGATTGTCACACTTTACGTTCCCATAGCTAAGGTTTGATTTTCTCTCTCTTCCACGGTGGTTGAAGTATTTATGGATGTATTTGTATCAAATCTTTGAAGAGGTACTAGGGTAAATTTAGTAGGAGAATAAGATTATACCCTTATTTAGTGGTCATGTCTTGATTTTAGGGTATTTTTATTGGTTTTTAGTGAAATATTGGTTTGCATGTTGATCTAGATCTACAACTAGGGTTTGTGATTATTGTTTTTATTTTCAACATTCGTATTGAAAGGATCAAGATGCCCAAGAGGGAGGTGAATTGGGCTAATTCTAAATTTTCTTTCAATAATTAAATCCTACGGTTAGCCCAATTAACCCCTTTGCCTAGAAAAAGGTTTCTATTAATCTAACGCACAACGGACTTACAACCTATGTACCAAACTTACTCTAGCATGGCAATTCTATGAATGTAAAGACAAGTATTGAATTGCTCAAAGTAAATGCTCAAAGTAAATGCTCAAAGTAAATAGAGAGAGAGGAACGCGGCGATGTTTTGCCGACGTATCGGAGAGTCGCCACTCCCCACTAGTCCTTGTTGGAGCACCCGCGCAAGGGTGTAGCTCCCCCTTGATCCGCGCAAGGATCAAGTGCTATCTATGGGTTGATTCTTCGACACTCCGTCACGGCGAATCACCCAAAACCGCTCACAACTTGAGTTGGGTCACCCACAAGCTCCGCCGGGTGATCACCAAGCTCCCAATCACCACCAAGCCGTCTAGGTGATGGCAATCACCAAGAGTAACAAGCACAAACTCTCACTTGACCTCGCAAAGCCTAATGAGAAGATGGATGCACACTTGGCTACTCTTGATTCACTAATGAGGCTACTCTCTTGGATTCTCAAATCTCAATCACCTCACTAGGACCTTGCTCTTCTTGGCACTCACAAACGTGTTTCTCAGCTGTTGGAATGAGCAAAAGTGACTCCACACACGAGTGGAGCTTCTATTTATAAGGCATCCTGAAAAACGAACCGTTATGAGCTTCTACGGGGTGACCGGACGCTCCGGTCATGTTGACCGGACGCTCCGGTCAGTTCAACCCGCACACCAGTGATAAAGAGTTGACCGGACGCTGGCAGGGTCCGATCACCACTGACCGGACACGTCCGGTCACATTAAACCCTCACTGGATGCTTACTGTACTCGACCGGACGCTGAACCCCCAGGGTCCGGTCAGCACTGACCGGACGCGTCCGATCGCAGATTCCCTTCTCTGGAACCTTACTAGAGTCGACCGGACGCTGCCTCTCAGTGTTCGGTCACTTGACCACTCCA